ATCAGAAGTCTCTTTAATCTTAAACATCAAGAGATGAGCTATCAATATGTCTGTTATATTCGTTTATTCGAATCCAATTAATTTTTCACGTCCTAAAATGCACAAACCAAATCAACAAAATAAAATAAAGATTGCAAAATGAAATAGTTTTGAAATGAAAACGGAAACAAAAGGCCTCCATGATGTCTAGAAATTCCCTTCGTCCTTTTGCTTTATACTGACATTTCAATATGAGCCACAAATTCTTTTCTCAACCAAAGTGAATCAAATAAAAAAGTGCTAGTGTAACAGGGGACGAGAATAATCGATATGACGGAATTTTTGGTTTAATTTAAATCGTTTCCAAACTCGCATGAAATTAAAAAGAAAATTATTCAGCTTTAAACTCAACTTAGTTGAATTTAATTGATGAGAAAAAAAATTATACTTTCTATGCGGTGTTTAAGAACGTTATTCAGTGCATGGAAATAAATTTAGCGAGGATTTCCGTGAATTCCAAATGGCTTTATGAATTTTTCATCGGTATTTGCATGTAGACAAAAGATGTAACTGTTTCTTGTGTAGCAGTCTTATTTAGAGTGCAGTTGAAATGTATGGCTTTTCAATGAAATTAAATCTATGGAAACTTACGCACAAAAATTCTAAGAAGAAAATGGACGAATGAGAAACCAAATACGTAGTGAATTACCAACATTAAAAACTTTGCCTGGGGTAAAATGATATCATTTCACTGACCAACGTAAATTTTCAAAAGGTTGAAAAGTGCACCGTTAAAATCACCTTATGAAAATGTAAAGTTGAAAGCCAGGTTGTGTTAGCGGTGAATTTTTCAATCTTTTATATTACTATTTATCATCCACTTTACACATTCAATTTTGTTTTTACACATTTCCAATTTTCTTAAAATATCCGTACTCTTGCCTGACTCCCGTTTGCCCAAATAATTTTGTATTCTTATATATATATATATATATATATATATACAGTGGCGGAAAATAAATATTCGTTCACTTGAAAAATTGTATTTTTATAAATGTAAAATTCTTAAATAAAACAAATCTCGGCACATTTTATGTATAAAGACACATACTATTAAAAAATAATAATAAACTTAATTAATTCTTATTCTAACAGAAATTAATGCATTTTTTAAAAATTCTAACTGGTGAAAAAAAGTATTCGTACAAATCAATTATTAGAATAAAATAATCAATTAATTATGAAAAAAGTATATTCTAGAATGTTCCAGTAATGTTATCAGTAATTATAGTTAACGCTATTAGCCATTATCAGAGCATTCTGCAATTTCTAGTCTTACGAGAAGGTTCTAATAATGCCTAAAGGTAAAGAATTGACTATTTCACAAAAACAACACATTTTGTCTCTTTGGAAAGATGGGAACAGTTACAGAACGATTTCTAACAACCTGAATATTCCTTTTACTACAATTGCTTTGTTCATTGCAAGGTTTAAAACTCGTAACAGCGTCGAAAACCAAAGACGAACAGGTGCTCCGAGGAAGATTTCTCTAAGATCAGCAAGGATATTAGAACGCCATATCCAACAAAATCAACAGGTTACCCGAGAAGAGCTGCGGGAACATCTGCGTGCATTAGGGATTAAAGTAACCAAACGTACAATAAGTAATGAACTACACAAAAACAGTCTGAAATCACGCATCTCAAGGAAGACTCCATTCCTCTTAAAACGACACAGAGATGCTAGGCTAAAAATCGTTAGAGAGCATAAGGATAAAGAATATTCGTTTTGGGAAAAAGTACTATGGACAGATGAAACTAAAATATAGTGGTCATAATTATCGAAATCATGTGTGGAGGAAGGACGGTGAAGCCTACTTACCGAAGAACACGTTGCCAACTGTAAAGTTTGGTGGTGGCAGTATTATTATCTGGGACTGTTTTTCTGCAGAAGGTGTTGGCAGAATATCAATAATAGATGGCAAGATGAATGCCGAAAGCTACCGGAAAATCCTGCAAGACAATTTAATGCGTTCTGTTGTGAGACTTCGCCTACCTTCTGTTTGGGTTTTCCAACTGGATAATGTTCCTAAGCATACCGCTAGATCTACAAGGAAATGTTTAGCTGAAAGTTACATTGATGTCTTGCAATGGCCAAGTCAGTCCCCACACTTGAACCCAATCGAGAATTTATGGCGATATTTGAAAATTCGATTTGGGAAAAGAGCACCAACAAATATCAAGAATTTGAAGACAATATGCCATGAAGAATGGGACAAAATACCTCTTAATATGTGCAAATCATTAGTTGAGACGTACAGGAATAGACTGGTAGCTGTTGAAATCAATAAAGGATATTCCATAAAGTATTAAATTAAGTTAATATGCTTTTTTTTGTTTTGTACGAATACTTTTTTCATCAATTAAAATGAAAAAATGCATTAATTTTTGTTAGAATAAGAATTAAGTTTATTAATATTTTTTATTAAAGCGTATCTTTGCACATAAAATTTATCAAAATTTGTTTTAGTTAAGGCTTTTATATTTATAAAAATACAATATATATATATATATATATGCAAAACATCTAGAACATTTGTTAATAAGAACAAATTTGCTATAATAACATTTACAGAAATAAAATAAAAACTATTGAATCAAAGATCGGATTTTATATATATATATATATATATATATATATATATATATATATATATATATATATATGTATGTATGTGTGTGTGTTGTGTGTGTGTGAGAACACTGAAGTCAACAATAAATAGGCGACAGACTGTTTCAAGCTAGAAACAGTCTGTCGCCTCTGAGTGTTGATTCAATGTTCACTTTTATATTTAAATATGAGCACTTTATTCCATAAATATGCCACACCTTAAAACTATATGTTTACCGCCTACTTTTTGTTAGACAATAGCGTCTTCATCTAAGTTAGTACGGGAATCTTAAAGGCGCATAATACACTAACATATAAGTATTGTTTTATTATATTTTGTATTGACTACTGGTTTATAGTGACCCGATTTGCCTTTATTTTGTAAAACAGTCGGAAAATCGTAAAAAAACCCTAAAATTCTCCACTATATATCAGCAGTGAGTCTGATCTTCCGACTATTGTCACTGAAAATCTATACAAATCAATAGCCTGTAATTTATCTACTAAATCGAATAATGAGTGAATCTTTCTGAAAGCTAAGAACCTGTAGCAAGAAGTATTAGTTAAAGATAAGCAAAGATAACCTTAACAACAACAAAATAAAAGACTATGTGTAGATAAATAATATGATTTAATCCACTATCGTTAAAATCGGAAAAAAAAACTCTTATATATTCCAAAAATTAATTAGAAAACATTTTACTACGTTGGAAATAAAAAAAACTAAAACAAAAAAAAACGAAGAAGCTATTCAATAAAAATAACATTAAAGTTAGTTATATTTCTGGTAAAAATATGATAAAGATAATTGACAACCATAACAAGAACTTACCCAATAACAGTGATTGTAAACAAAATAAAGCCAAATGCAATTGCAGACTAAAAGCATGCCTGATTTATAGGAGGAAAATATAATTTATCTGCTGAAAACGGAAGTAGACAATAGTAATATAATGAAGGAAGAGAAAATATATATAGCGGCTTCCGAAAATAACTGGGAAAAGTCATGTTTTAAACACAGTAAATACGAAAATACTACAACATCGTCTACGTATTAATGGAAAATTAAAAGAGAAGTAGGTAAGTCTCCCAAAATTACTTGGAGAATTTATAAAAAAACACCAACTACATATAAAAACGTTATGGACAGGTGTAAGCTTTGTCTAGAATAAACATTGCTACATTAAATTTGAGCGGCGTTAACAAAATACTTAATTAACAAATGTAGACAAAATATAAAATACTTATTGTGCCAGCTATCACCTGATTAGTTAATCACACCAACAGTATTTTTGCTTTCCTTATTTTCTTTTTCCCCTGTCAGGGTGTGGCTATCCACGTTTTTTTAAAGTAAAATTATTTCGCTTTATTTTTCTCGTGATGCCTTAAGATATGCAATTTCAAGTCATGGGTTATATAAAAATTGTTCCCATTTCGTTCATTTACATTCAATCCGTCTGAGGATCGATTGCGTGTGAAACGCGGGTTACGACTTAGGCCATCTGTTTATAGGAATTAACCAATTGCTTTAGGTGGCTCCACAGAAAAAAAACCAAACGATTGACGTGGAGCAAACGTGAAGGGCCACCCTGGCCTATACATATTTCATTATAGACCTCAGCCAGTGCATCGCGAACAATGTTACTAAAATGTCCTGGAGCCCACCATGCATGAACCACATATGTTTTCGTATTAGCAAGGGTACATCCTCTAGCTGGTCTTCGAAATAGAGTCCCTGCAGACAGCTCCTGTAAGACTTGCTGGGAGAATATATGAACCTCACAGACAGTCGGATACAATTTCATGCCACAAATTAATCGTAAACTGATGCTGGGGTCTAGCCTGTATTTATCATGGGGACTCTGATCCGTTATGAAATGTTTGTTGCGTAAATTTGTTATTAAATCTCTTCCAAATGTTACCTGAAGAATCAACCAACAGATCGGCAGTTTGTGCGATAAAGATCGTCAAAATCCTCCCGTGGTTAGTGATTAGAGGGTGAAAGTTCGTGCGCACGTTGCAAATTATACGAATACAGGAGCTGAATTTGAAGTACCATCCGTGCGGTACTATGAGATGTACGACATGCAAGGAACATTTGACGCATGCTGATACATGGATCGTCTCCGACAGCCTGGAGAATGTGTTCTTCGTGGTCAGGTGTACGAAATCCATTTCAGTCTTCCGTGATCCATAGTTATTGGAGCCACGGATCCAGTCTCAGCAACGCGACGATAAACACCAACAAAGGTTGGATGACTCCGCTGCCTTCGGGCTGTAAACACAATCTGATACAGCCGTGCAGCTTCGCGACCATTACTGTTCCCATGACCGTATGTAAAATCATATTTTTACGGTCAAATCACGTTGAAAACACCGGTTTCGTTCGATCACCGAAGTTAAGCATCGTAGAGCCAGACAAAAGTACTTAGATGGGGACCGCTTGGGAACACCTGGTACTGTAAGCCCCCAAAGTAAATTACCTCACAGTCGGTGGGGAGTGTAAACGGTAGTGTTTATGCCGCCCGGAACTTCGTTCCTGGTAGGGCCACCCAAGGCGGACAGGTCTGACACACACGCCGGCTAACAAGGGCTCTGGTGAAAATCCAAGGAGCGTCTGCATCGGCAACCGGCGTCTTCTGGTCGTTCCTGTCTCTGCGTCTGTGGGAACCCCGCGGCAAGCAAGAACGTTATCCGAGTAGGCCTGGGTACTCTACTTCTGTAATTTATCCCAAGAATCTTCTTCTCATAACAGTAAGAAGCCGGCTCAATCCGCCCAGGGTGAATGCCACAGCAGTACAGTATGTAAAATCATACCTGCCTGCGCACGGTATGAATATCCTGCCATAGGTAAAACGGTTCAATTCGCAGTTAAGACACTACTACATACGTTAAACGTTGACTACAGACTACCAGAAATGTACACGAATGACAAAGGTAACCTAGCGTAAACTTTCTTTAAATTTAAAATTTAAAAACGAAGGGTTTGCCGATATATAATTGTATGGATTTTTTCTTTTTTTTTTTGTTTTAACACTGCCACAAATCTTGTGACAGTATTTTGATACTCTCTCTCTCTCTCTTTATCTACATATATATATATATATATATATATATATATATATATATATATGAATGACAGCTGGAAAATAAATGTTTCTTAGTCATTGCCGACATTTTTCAAAATATTAAAAGCGCGGTAAATAAGTTATTTAGAATATATCTTTCAGAGTTACCAATACACAGAAAGTAGTTTACAAACGACCATTCCCTTTTTAATATTTTTAATTTAATATAAATAAAAAAATATTTCACTTTCAAACTTGCCTTGATAAATTCGGATTGATGATTGAAACGCGTCGATACAGGACTAAGAAATATATTTTTAATCCAAATTGTCTTATTCTCATAATTATTGAAAAAATTTATATAATATATATATATATATATATATATATATATATATATATATATATATATATATATATTTTCGATAGATAGATAGATAGATGATATATATATGTATGTGTGTATCGGATGTCTATTCACACTGATGAGCTGTGAAACAGCAAAACAGTCTGTCTGTGGATGACAATATATATATATATATAAAAAATTATTTCGGTTGATCTCTCGGGGAGAAAAGTTAATTTGTAAACAGTGACTATTACTGCTGATGCAAAACTCTTCGTTAAGACGAATCGGGTTCTCCAGTCACAGGCGTGTTTATGTAAAAATAGAAAAGTCTAAATTCACCTTCATCTCTGTCATTCGCAAAATTAGTCGATCGGTTTTCGATCCCGGCATGATGCAATCGATGTCTAGTCTCACTGATGAATGCGAAACAATCTGTCTGTAGATGACAATATATATATATATATATATATATATATATATATATATATATATATATGTTAACTGCTTTTGAATACATTAATCGTCGTCGCGATCTGATTTTAAAAAATATCGATTTATAAACAAATTATATCGTTTTAAATATATTTTTTCATATGTCTAAATTGAACCAAAAAGGGAAAAACTGTATATGTAACGCGTTTCGTCCTACAAAAAGACATATTCAGGCCAAAGAATATTTTTAAGAAGTTTTAGCTATAATTTTTAAATATCAAGCGGCATAAAAATACACCATCCCTAGACACACCCAACTTCTTACAATCTTCTTTTGTTTTTATTGCGTTGCTTTATTAATTAGTCCACATTGTAATTACTTTGGTTTTTGTAAGGAAGGTGAAATGCTTCATGAAACTGAACGTAAATTTACTGTGGAAGATTTTGTGCGATTCCTTTACATTTCCGACTTAATAAATTTGATTTATTCATTTATGAATGACAAAGAGCAGATGGGCATTCATTAAAAAAAAAACCCAAAACGGGGTGACCCTTTCATTTTGGAAGGAGACCCGATTGGAAAAATGCAAATTACAAATCAGGGATAATAAAATCAAACAAGTACACAAATTTAAAAATCTGGCAAGCGTTCCAACAGAGGATGGAAAGTGCGACACTAAAGAGGCATTAGAATGGCCAAAAGCTAAGAAGAGTATTAAACGACATAAAAACTTCGCTAAAATCGAAGAAATCTATACTGAACTGTTACGTGATATCTATTCTGTATAGCAGAGAATGCCGGACAATTTTTCTTCAGATGACGAAGAGACTTGAAGCAACAGAAATGTCTGTTGTACAGAAGCATACTGAGATTACCATGGACCGTACATGTGAGCAGCGGCGAAGTTTTAGAGAAAATGGAAACAAAAATGAAACTTATACTTAACATAAGGAAGAGACAGCTGAAATTTCTGGGACACGTAATGCGGAAAGAAGGTTTGG